TTTATGAGAGTGGCAGCACAGTAGAATTTAGATTTTACCCCAGTGAGCATCCATCTTTGCCCGTCAAGTGGCAAAAATACCAGCCACCATGTGGGGCCAAATTAATAAAGTAAGCAAATGACAAATTCCAACCAAAAAGGTATTTTCTGGCCAAAAAGGTATTAATTGCTCAATTCTTGCAACTAGTATTTTTATTTTCTGTTAGCTTTGCCCATTGGGATTAATATAAGAACAGGTTTTATTGTACTAAGTCTGGGAACATTTGAAAAGTTAAAATGAAAAAGACTGAAATGTGTTATGCATAAAAAGCAAATCTATGTTTAGCAAATGTGATTAGCTTACAGGTCCATTAGAATGACCCATAAAGTCTTTTTGAAACTGCAACATATCCTGTGCATGTGAAACCTTTTGAGTATCTGGCAATAATTGTAATAGTGTTGCATGATAATTCTGTGATTTTGAGCTTTTAGAGTTTAGATTTTTTTTCCCCGTGATTGTAAAGTATCAAAATGACTCTGACTGCCACATGTGACATACGTTTGCACTGACTAGTCGTTGTTCCTTTGTCAGTAGTTGCTTTTGTTGTGTATCCCAGAAAATAAATGAACATTACAGTTGATTTGTGTCTTGATTACATTGGAACATACATTTTGTAATAAAATATAATTTATTGTCTTTGTCAGGGATCTGCAGCCGGTATTTTATAATGATATATCTAAATATTCACCATCAAGTTGAATTGACAAAAGTCAATAACTGATATTTATATATCTGTAGACTACAGTTTCCAGTCGCACACATGTGAGAGTTGTCCTATCAAAAGCGTGTGCTGAAAAACAGAGGCATGTTCTTTGAGTTGACATGATAATATGCAGGCACAATAACAATAACTTGTTTGGTAATATATTAGAATGTTTTTGAAGAGAGCTCCTCTCAAACTTTCATTTGATGGACATTTCAGTAATGACCTAAACACCAATAAATTGAACCCATAACATTGTTGTATCTTTTTACGTAACCTGATGTCTAACTCGCGGAGTGCTGCAGTTGGCTCTAGAGCTGCTAGTTGGAGATGCCTGGTCTGTCTATATTTGTATTTTCATCATTACGTTACATTCTTGGGTTAGTTCATTTACTCTTTACTCTAACGTCTATGTATTATGAATTAGCAGCTTGTGAAGTATTGAAGTATTCTTCATTTGAAACAGGTGTGTTTTGTACCAAATCTCCAAAAGTGAACAAAGAGGATCCTCACTAAAGACTTTTGCATCTTTTTTCAGGGGTCCCTCAAACACCATGTGTGAAATGAGAGTTGCCTGGGTGTGACTTTTCCAGAAAGCATCCGCTGGCTATTGTCCTCCCAGTCAACTTGTGCAAGCCCCAGTGCCCTGACTTCCATACATGAGAGATCAAGGGTTACCAAGGTGCTTTTGAGGAGCAGAGCTCAATGTGAGAGGGGACAAACCAGCTCACAAAATGCTCATTTCCTTTGCATGTTAGCTACCCTAGTGGGGTTTCAGACAGGGTCACTGACACAGTAGTGGGGCAGCCTTCTCCACCATGCTTTTTAATGAAAACAGTTGCTTGCCTTTTCATTGGCTTGTGACTGCTATCAGCCAGCTGTACAGTATGGCGTCTGATAATGTGCTGTGCTGGGCCAAAGGAAAGTTTGTTCACACTATGGATGTTTATCCGGTGCTGGACAGGGGCACCTCGGAGAAAAGGTAAAAGTGGTTGTGTCCACCTCTCATTCTGGCCTGAGCGTTTAGTCGCTGAGCCATGGCATTAACTTGTATTCTAACAAGATTAAAATATATTCGTCCTGGGGATTAGCATAGTTAGGTGTCCTTTTGCCTCTTTTTCCTGCACTGGTGCAGTGACAGTGGGCTTTGATCTGTGTTGCGAGGCAAGAGTCCTGGCTTGGACCTAGCCATTCGAGTGCCAAGTGTGAAATTGGCCTGATGTCATCCCCATTCTTCACCTTTTACATCTTTCACCACTTTAATTATGTTTCCGCCACAAAGCCCAGGCACCTCTGAGCAGATTCCTCTGCGTCCATAGGAAGCATTTAGAAACTGTGAGTAAATGACACAGTAGGGGAGGGGAGATGGTTAGAGAGGTCATAGCAGGATGGGGCCCTTTTGTGTTTGGGGCTAGACATTGATACTTTTCCTCATGCACCCTCAACCCACTTCCATTTTCATCACAACACTGTATGCTTTTATGAACTGTAGCCACTCAAATGCTTTGTACTTTTGTCCTCTCCAACAATGCTTTACATCCTTGTCATTTAACTTTTTTTAATTAAAAAGATTTTTTTCAAAACATGAATGCAATTAACTATAAAACTACCTGAAACTTTCTCTTTAATGTCATATAAAAGAGTGCCAGTACAAACAGGTGCCAGTGTTACTATTTACATGTCACTCAATAACTGGTGTCCCGATCTGAACTTTGAGAAGTGGGATGCATTAAAGTGGGGAGTGGGAATATTTTGAGGAAAGCTCCTGATGCATAGAGCAAAGGACCAGAACAACAAGGGCGTGTTGCTAGAATGTGCATAACCAAGAAGTGAATGAAGTATGAGCGAGCGTGCTAAGCAAGAATAATGTGAGCTGCTGATAGTAAGAGGTGCAGATGTGTTTGTGGAGCAGAGGAAAAGAGTGGTAAGTAAGGAGCTGTGTGGAGAATGGCTCAGGAGGGCGGGAGGGGGAAGCAGCCACCTGCAGCCATGACAGGCTTTGACCTTCACTGCTCCCTCTCTCACCCCTCCCTCCCTCTCTCACTTCACTCCCTTCACTCCCATTCCTGCCTGTGATAGAAGTGCAGCTCTTTTGAGAGAGACTGACCATCAACAAGACAGTGCTGGGAGCAGCCCTATCCGTTCCAATGCTAGTCACTGGCCGTTAGACATGGTGTTCAAAGACTAGTGGTGCAAGTATGGAAATGCAGATAATGTATTGTGGAGAAAACATGCCTGGGAATTGTTCAAGGATCTCTCCTGCATAATGTGCAGATGCTTTTGCTAATGCTTAATCTCAAAACTCATGACCTAATCCCACATGAATCTGATCCGTAACCTTTAAGGTTAGTATAAGACAGAAGTCATTTTCTCTGCCGAACTTCAGTTTGAGGGGAAAAAAAGCACTTTTACATTGCAGTGTTTTTAATAAAGATGTGGAAAGTTTCTGTGTATAATCTTCAAAGTTTATTTAATCATCTTTTGCAGTTCTCAGGAGGCAGTTAATTACACAATTAATACATGATACAAATTATGTACATTTATACCAAAGAATACTTCAAACATAAAATAAAAATAGCATTGTATTTCTACAACTCTGTGTTGTCATTTTATGTTCATATATAGATAGATATACGCTGATGAGTAAATTCATAATGCAGTTTTCATAAAGGCATTCAACTTGAATAATCTGCATTTGAAGTAATACTGCTTCTCTGATTCGGCACAGTTCTGTTTAAAAGAAAGTTCACTCTTGAACTTTAAGGCAAAGTGTGTTTCAGTTTGGTGGATTTAATTCACACACACTTTTTTCAGATACACAACAAAACACTTTGAAAGGCAAAAAGTCCCCATTTTGGTATGGATACAGTCTCCTCTCCATCATACTCTCACTAAGAAAGACTTCAGGGTAAAAACACAGTTATTTGCCCATGTACAACAAATTGCAGCTTTCATGCAAAGGCCCCGTAAACTATTTTCATTCACAAAAAGAAAACAAAAAAAGTTATTGCAAGATAAACAAGCAGTGTAAACACCTCAGATAACTACTCTAAAGCAACACTGGTCATTGGATAAATTTTTTTCTCAATATAATCTATATAAATACACATATGAAGTCCTTTCAACAACATTAAGAGATTTCCAACATTTGTTATACAGTCACTGGTGGTTTTGTTTTATTTTATGATATGGATATGTAATAAAATGTAGATAGTAAAATTTATCCTCAGCCTAAAATAACCTGCATTTATAGACTCCTCTCCATAGTGCTGCAAATGGTTGTCTTCATTGTCTTTATGCTACAGAGTTGTTTGTATGACTTTAAAGGCAGCATTACCCTTCAGTTAGCTACAGCATGATTCATATTGCTATATTTAAAAATATAGTGGATGCACTTGTAGCTATAACAAATGAATAACGCACGTTGAGTGTTTAAAAGGCTATATGAGACAAGCAGACACTGAAGCAAGGCCTAGCTTAGCATTTAGGTTAAGTGGCGTTTAAGAAAAAGCGCAACCTCTCAGTCACATAAGCCTGTACATATTTTTTGTGATTACTTCATTTATAAAACGTACAAAATTCATTGTTTGCCCAATTAGCTTTTACAATGAAAATAATGTTCTTCATTACACCAGACAATCAAGAATACTCAACAAGAATGGAAATTAAAAAAACTGCGCGTTTTTAAATTCACAGTAGCCTGGATGCAGCAGAAAAATACTCTTTGGACTTGGGTGCGTTCACGTCACTGGCTGGTCAAAACAAACTAAGCGCCAGTTCGCGTATAGTGACAATCATGGTTAGGCTATAGAAGCTTTAGAAAAACATAGGTGAGCGAGTGAAACCTCCTGGGGACAAGATAGACGGACAATGAAAACATAGCTTTATACAACATCTTTTATAGACGTGATATTGCAGAAATATCTCTCTATTTTAAACATTTTATGCTGGTATACTTTATACACTGGCCCTTTATTTAGTGAAATTATTGCATTGTAGGCTTGATTGCGCCTCATGTTGTACGAAAAAGCACTATAATATTCCTTAGAGGACAATGCTGCCTGGTCCAGTCTATTGTTCTATACTACTATTTCTATAGTGAATCTGAGAGTATGGATAGTAGCCTATCATAGATATTTCTGCTGTGGCGTTATTAAATAGCATGTGAGTAAAGATCTGTTGTGAAAGCTCTATATAAATCTGTCATAGGATTACTATAGCATGTTTTCGTCTGGAGGCTGCAATTACATTGTGGAATTCAATCGCTGTCTGATTTTTCGTCCTTCGTGACAGTGGCATGATTGTACAGTCCCTGTGCCATCAGGTGTAAGGCCAGTGAGTTTTTAGTGCCGCTGGCCTTCTTGATTTTGGCCCTCTTGTTTTGGAACCAGATCTTGATCTGGGACTCGTTGAGGCCCAGCTCTTGTGCCAGGTTCTGCCGCCTCTGCTCAGTCAGATAGCGATTTGTCTGAAACTCCGTTTTGAGTCTTTGCAGCTGCTCTGCTGTGAAGGCCGTTCGTGGTCGCTTGTCTTCTTTGCTGGTTGATTTCTTCTTTGGTTTGCGAGATCTTGGCCCTGTAATGCAATATCTGTAGTTAGGGTAGTCACAAATCGACTATTTGTCCAAAAGAGTAAGTTAAACTAGTTAGCCAACTAACTATACCATTAAAACAAGCAACAGATAACTTTTGCAAACTTTCATTATGCAGGCTTCATGATCATGTAACAAATGTAAATCACATTTCATAGCCGGTAAATACCATTAAATACATGGACCAATGCGTAAAGAGCGCGTAGCGCCAGAGGAAGTTGAGCTCCAAGAGGGACTTCAGTAGCCAAAACATTTTTAGTGTCAAATAAATGTATGTTGTGATTACTACGCAAACGTATGGATCAATCCATATCATAACCAAAGGCCCGAGTGAAAGTGTAAATGCCACATTTCCTGAAAAATAAAGCGACGAGCTCAAATCTCCCTCCCTCTTGTTTACACGTATAACGCAAAGTGCACGTCTCTACAATTCAGGAAATATAAAGCCGCAGGACAACACGGAGAACGTGCACTCACTGATTTAGGCTGATTTCAGGATAAGTCTACAAGTTTCTACTTTGCATTCTTTTTTGTGGGTCACTTCAAACGCTGCTCAATGAGCCAACGTGCTCTGACTTTGAGTGGCCTACATTCTACACATCCCTCATTCCTGCTATGTTTGGCATAGCTTGGTTTATGTTAGTTCTGTTATTCATTCAAGTCATCTTCAGGTGGAATTTATGAACAAATCAAGTGCGCGGCCGATAACACTACGTACTACACACGAGGAAACCGCGTGGGAACAAGAAGCCCGTAGCCTATAAAGCTACGCGCTACAACTCGTAGTAGTGGACTACGCCACACATAAGCGTTACATAATGTATGAGAACAAGTTGTACACTTTTAATAATATTGTACCAAACATCACTGCCTTTAGTCATCTCTGACGTTATGGTGAACATAAAGAACCAAAGCAGTTTAAAACAACACATCGGCTATACGAGCGATGGGCGCATTCAGTACGGAAACAAATAAATATTTAATTCGTGACAAACGAAGCTCTCATATTCCATCTAATAATGTGCCTTAAAAAAAAAGTAAGTAAAATCATACTGGCGCATTGTTTGTGATTATATGCAACATTGTCGATTTTAATAGCTATGGTATTCAGAAATGTAGCACAACTTGTAGGTCATTTAATTTACATTTACATGTATTTTTTAATTCTAAGTCTAAACGATTAAATTGTTAAGGATTTCCATATCCATGTAAGCATTCGAAACTGACAATTTTGTTTCACATTTTATTTAGATTTTTTTTTTTCTAAATATGATAGTGACATGTTTGTTTTGGGGAAAAAAGAAAAATAATAATAATAATAAAACGGTGAATTAAAGTCACATATATGCCAGGTTTTTAAATGTTGTTATAGGCTTTTGTTTCAGTGTTTCAATAAAACTTACGTGCGGTAAGAAATGCATTTGAAAATAATACAATTAGCTTTGACAAGTCTATGCGCTGCGTAAAGTCCCGTTCTGCTTCAGATAGCACACTAGTGACCGACTGTGCGCGGAGAAGTCGGTCAAGGCATCCGGGGTCAGTGTTACGGGGTATTTCAGGTTACGGGAACAGAAAAAGTTGACTCACCTGAAGAAGGCCTGTCCGAGTAGCGGGTGCAGTACACCCAGGCGGGCCACAGCATGGGCTTAGCTGCTGCCGGGTTGGAGCTGGCCTGCGAACTGTCAGAGTCTGAGCTTAGGCACTGATCGCCGCTCTCCCCGCGGGACTTCAGTGGCTCCTCGGCGGGTGTGGCAGGTTTCTTTGCAGCGTGTGGAGTGGACGTCCCCTCTGCCGGTACCGTGCTGCCCACGGGCTCGGTCTGAGGGGCAGCAGGGCTGTTGTTGCTCTCTCGTGACGCACTTTCTTCATGGTTTGGAGCTGCTTCTTTTTTACGGCCGAAATCCGGTCGTAGGAATGTTGTCGATGAAGAAGTTGGTGATCCTGTGCGGGACCTGCTGGTTGCCCGGTGCGTGCAGCAGCGGCAGTATGGCTCTGTTGGACTCGTCCGCCGCATCCCTGTTGCCGTGCTCATTTTCTTCCATACTGATTCACTTTAATCTCGTTAACCCCTTTGTCGCTCTGTCCGACACGAGAAATGCGTCTTTTATAAATTTTAAGAAAACTACGCGAAGTTTAAATAAATAAAAAATGTAACTCAGAAAAGAGCGAGTGCTTTGGACACTTTGCAAAGCTCTGCGCTAGTGTCCTCCGAGAAAAGCATACTTTTGGTCCTATATCCCCTGTTTCGGCTTAGAATAGATCCCTATAAGATAAAACCTGTGCCATTTGCGCACCGTCCAATTGGTCAAAGTGGATGGTTGCCTAGTCCTAAACTAAACTAGAGGTAAATAAAGATGCTGCTAAACTGATGCTCTAATACTCGCACTCTGGAGTTTTGTGCTTATTTTCAATACGAGCCCCACGAGTGACGTTTTCCTACAGTCCTCCCAGACACGTGCCTTGGACCAATCAAATGTGTGGAACCATGCCATGTGACACCGACTCCAAAGCAGTCCACAAACGCCCATCCTCGCCAGAGTAAAAGGGAAAGAGTCCTGGATCGAGAGACAAGGAGCAGCCTCATTTAAATCCGCTGCATGCTCCACATACTTCACATAATTCATCGGTGTTTATTAAAGTGCAACTCCATTTGGAGTGATTACGACTTTTGTGAATAACACTATTCTCTGTGTCTATGTGCCAGCCTAATGAAACAGGTTCCCTTGTCAAAGCGGGTGTGGGCACCCCGGGGTTTCTTGTTGCAACACACTGAGGGATTCCCAACTAAAATGTCCACGCAAAAGACCGTCATAAGTGTTTTTCTATCATCAAAACTGCCCTTTCAACAAATCAATGAAACAAACTGATTGTTGTGTAAAGACTCAAATCATAGCTGATGATTTGCCCGTCAGTCGGATGTAATTGTGAAGTTACAGACATAAGGATTTTTCTATGGGCATTTTCAGTGTTACAAGTCGTTCCAAGCATGATTCATTCATATGCCTAAAAAGATTATTCTTATTCTTATTTGAAATCCAATCCGCGGGAATATTGTTGCTGGGTAGAAATGGTTTCAGCTTGACATGTCCAATGTGATATGTTGCCCCCAGCTTCTTCGGAGTTTAAAAGTGATCTCTCGTGTTTGTCATGACGCAGCAGTCGACCCACAATTGGGTCCCTAGCCCTTTAAGTGAAATCACTGATGCAAACAAACGGTGTTGTGCACGGTGCTGTGGATGGCGAGTCGCGCCAAAGACAAAACTCTGAAGAAGTTAGGTGGCCGATGTGAAGTTTGCCTCCAGTGCCTCGGGTGCCTCGGGGCTATGTGGACGGGTGAGACAGTTCTGCATCGCAGAGCACCTCAAAGGAGACAGCCGCGAAACGAGTAAGGTTCTACGTTTTTACGCACACTTTACGCACAGACTTATATTTATTTTTTTGAATTGTGTTGGATTTGTTTTTCCTATACTACTTCTTTTACATGGGTGCTGACAACGCTGTAATGTGTATGGATTTGTGCCATGTGTCTTTTGTGTTTTAAAAATGTATTTATTAAGGCCGCTTCTTGTGGTCAGTGTGGATCTGACCTAAAACATGTACACTTTGCAACACACTTCTCTAATAATTGGGAAGGCCTGTGTTTATTCTTGTGTCTTCAAATTCACACGGACACATACCTACTATTTCCTTTGCAAATCACTGTTTTTTAAACTTACTTTTTTATGTGTTCTGCTTTACTCCAGCCACTGTCCGGCGGCTGATGGAGTGAAAGTTTGGAGTGATAGATGTAATTAGACAGGCCACTTTCATGCTGCGATTGTTTCTCACTTGTATGGGAAGTGCAGATTAATGTTGAGCGCTAAATAAGCAGCAGACAATGGGAACACAGACAGGCCGCTACCGCCTGGGCTTGGCCTCTAACCTCGCAGCAAAGCAAGGGCAGTCTGGAGGAAATGACACCATCTCAGCCTTACATTATGTGGCAGAATACGAATCCTTCTCTCCACACGCCTATTTAAACATACCATGCAACCGCTTCAAAAAATGAATCAGATATTTAGCCATATGTAGGCTATATATGAGTGCAATTACATTCAAACAACCATGTGTGCAACTAATTGAAGTGATGCTGGGAAGAGAAGGAAAAATGTTATTGCATTTATTGGTTTGCTAACAGAACATTATTCTACCTTGAGCTTTTGGAAAAATGTATGAATTAAATATACACCTAATTCCGTCATGAATGGGGTTTTTATTTGTGACTATAATTATTAGCCTATATATTATCATGTTGAAATACTTGATACTACTTAATTAATTTTAAATACACCGTAAATGTATTTCAAATTTTGATGTTTTTGGTTTTTATGTTTGTAACCTGTGCGCATATCAGATTTATTTTTAGATTTATGTTTTTCAGCGTGAGCTGAATATTTGGGTTTCGGCTTATGCGCAATAGTTTAAGCAACTTTAATTCAATTTTGATTCAATTTGATCACAGTTAAGATGGTGTTGAATCAGAATCATCTGATGTCTCTTAAAATGTTCACAACCATTTTATTTTATGAACAAAGATTATGTATTTTTGTGAAATATTCAAAGGAATTAGTATACAGTAAATAAATGTAATATAAAATATAAATTTGCGCATTAATTCAAGATGTGAAAGTAAGATTTTAATTATATATATATATATATATATATATATATATATATATATATATATATATATATATATATATATATATATTATTTTTTTTTTTTTTTTTTTAAAGAAAACTTTGGAAAACAATTAGTTAGGATCCTTTGCTCTAAGAGTGTCTTTGTTTTGTTTTTTGTCAGTAATATCATTCATATTCATATCAGTAGCTTATATATAGTGTTGGGAAAAACAGCACAGCAAAGGGTTAAGTAAATCGAGTACATTCACTTGTAGCGCTATGGCCCTCCTCTTTACGCACGCATCCATACATTCAGTGCCCTCCCTTACTACTACTCCCGCTATGGTAACTCTTGTGCATTGTGCGCATGTGTCCTGCCGTTGAGTTGCTATAACCCATTTTTGCTCAGCCTCTGTATTTTGCTTGGTAGGATTGTCTTACACGTCAGCAGGGCTCAGTACTATGGAATACTACAAAAGGTGACGCGCACTAGGAGGATTTGTGAATGGACGCCGTGATGTGTGCCAGCTCACAGATCAGAGGGCGGTGGGACCTCTGCAGATGCACCATGCCCCCCTCCCACCCCCCTTATTCGTCTCCTCTGCCCCCTCCCCTTCACATAAATGGAGGGAAAGGGGAGGGGGCAGCCTCTGTCGCCATGCAGGGGTCATCAACAAATCCTCGCGCTTCCTGTGCCTTTCAGGACCTGAAAGCGCGTCTCTCCTATTTGATGATCCCATATGATTTTTCTGTTGTTGCGCTTTTGTTTGGGCCTGGAAGCTCGCTGCCCTCTTGTATTCAGCCAGGGTCACAGAGAGCAGGGCGAACCCGAAATATTCCATCAATTTACAAATGCAATTTAATCTTTCTGTCTTTCTATATATATATATATATATATATATATATATATATATATATATATATATATATATATATATATATATATATATATATATATATATATATATATATATATATATATATATATATATATATACATATATTTATTTCTACATTTCTACTGGACTTTTACACTCGCAATTAGAGATGGACATTAAAAAATACCCACTGTACAATATTTTAAGAACATTGGGTCACTAAAAGGGTTACTAAAATCACACAAAAGTCTTTTCTAATTGTTATTTCCTGGATGATTGGACGTTCATAATATTCCGCTTTAGTTCAGGGCTACTGTGTGACTGCTGTGGTCCGATGCCGAGCCCTTTATAGGTTTTAATAACTTCTAATCCGTCTGATCGGTGTGGCGTAGATAAGTCTCATTTGAATTGGGATTGTTCTTAGAGAGCGCCTCACATTTCTTTCTCTCAACCAGAGCTTAGCACAAACAACTGCACCACCCTGAGCGCAATTAAGGCCTCAGCCAAATGAGATGAAGCCTAATTGAATGCAGCTCAGTTCCCATCAGCAACCCCTCGACTGGATCACTAATATGAGAAAAACGGCTGCCATGTCTCTGTTTTACAGGCTGTTTGTAAATGGACTTGTAAAAGACATTAAGGTTTAATTACAGTATGGGTCCTCAGTTTTGAATTTTATAACTCCTATCACCTACGAACTTCAGAGCTGTGCAGTTTCACATGTGGTGCAGGCTTTTGTACGTTAATAACACTCCTGTGGTTTAGATTACGCGCACACGCACACACACACAATTTCTTTTTTTCTGCATAGTTTTTTTTTTAATAAACATTCCTATCACTGTCGTTTAAAAGTACTTAAGTTGTAATAGATAGGGTATTATATTTTTTTCTCGATTTGCTTTTTTGCAAATGGCAGCTTGCTTTTTTGAACAATAATTCTTGTTCGTAAAAGTGTGATTAGTGCGCGCTCTGACTTTCACGAGCCGCTGTTTTCCCTAAATCTTTATTTTTCTTGATTCTTGTTCTCGGTTCGAGCTCAACTGGTGTCAGGCCCACTGTGTTTTTCACAACTGTGTGGATCCATTCTCCAGCTGCTCAGAGTTTTACTGACTGCTATTTCTGTCAGGTTAATGGGTTTACATTCTTCTTCATAGACAACACATAATGTTACTAAGCGACATACCTCATCGTGTTTATCTGCAGACTTTTGCGCTTCAGTCTGAATCTGTGGCCCCTGGAGTTTAGGGTCCCTCGGCTTGTGCACCTGTCCTAGCCCCTCGTGGGTTTATGAGCAAGACGGAACAAGTGCCACCCAAACAGGTGGAAAGCACTTGTCGCAAAATAAACTTTTTGTTGTTCTTTCACGATTCAAGTTCTGCATTTTATAATGAGATGAGACGCACAGGCCACTCAGGAGGCTGATGAGTTGTTTTGTACTGTCCTAAACTGTGTTCGCACAAAGACTAATGCACTGCCTCTTACGGAGAGAAACGGCAACATGGACAGTCAGTAACATTGTGGTCGTTTTCATATAGTGTATCATTGTCTTTTCCCCTTTTTTGTTAGGGTGATTTTTCCTTATGAGAACTTTGCAGGTGGCACTTTATTCTAAATGTGAGAAACAATCTGTGTTATGTCTCCTCCGCAGCTTGCAGTTTAATTATAGGGTGGTGGGGTCAACAGTACGCGTAGCCTCGACCCTCTCCCTGTGTGGCACTGCGATCTGTGCCGTTCATTTCGCTAAAATAGAGTCGGACTTTACCGAACCTAATGACGTTTCTTTCACCCCGATGCACCCAAGTTGTTTTTACCCCCACTGTCGAATAAGAGGCGAATTTGTCACTTATCAGGGCGGTCTGTCAAAGGCCGTTTTAGGCGCCATAACTTTCCCAAATGGTTTGAGCCAGTCACATTTGTGCATCTCTCAGCAGTGGAAGAAATAGACTGCGTTCCTGCTGCCTGGGTTTTCTACCTGCTAATCAAGGCTAATTACACAACAACACCAAACTAGAAAAGTATACATATATTTTTTTCTTTTTAATCTTCAAATGTCCATGGAAGTCAGAGTAGCTCTTTGGATTATATGCCCACATTTATATATATGAGACTTTTTGTTTGTTTGTTTTTAGGTGTACTCTCCATAAATGGATGTCCTTAAAATCCTTAAACTATACAAACAGATGTTTGCATGTTTGGCTGAATAAGGCTTTGTCAGTGTGTCACACAGTGCAGATTTTTGTGAGGGAAAAACTCACCTTGATTTATTCCATTAGATTTTATTCACTTGTTATTACCCTGGTCGATGGCAGAGGCTAATCTGAGCTGAACTGGCTGTGTTTAATTTACACTGGGATGAATTTGTTTGGAGGGCATGCATAATTTGCTATCACCTGAGGTTTCTTGTGTCATTTTTTTATTGTCCTGTGTTGGAAGAGGGATGGCACACAAGGCTGAGCATGCACAGTGCTGACTGAACTGATAAATACCACTGAGGCATGAGTTGCTGTTTACACTATAGGAAATACAATACCATCACCAACTTTGTCACACATACATTTACACTGATGATGTATTGACATAGAACTCTGAAGGACTGACCACTGTAGGTGATAAGTTATGATGGAGTGTGTGGGCAGGAACAAGGAAAGCTTGTAGTGCAGCCTGAGACTGCCATTTGAATGGGATCTGAGAGGTAATTTGAGCTAAAATGGAGTCCTTTTCTGAGGCACTCACGCACTGAGCCCCCCCATGGCATCCAGTGTAATTCATTATTCCTGGGCAGCTCTGGGAGAGGCGAGGGCAGAGGACAGCAGAAGCCAGCTTTGGTGTAATGAACACTCAGTGGACCTAACACACACGTGCACACTGGCACACACATGCACACACACATGCACACACAGCCTTTATTATATATCACAGGGAGCAGGACATTAATGCCACTCAAGACCTTTTGGCACAGAAATCGGAGTGTGCAATGATTTTCTCCAGTCCAAATCCATTTCATTGACCTTTTCTATCATGCATGGGACTCTGCTGCACACTGCACTCAGCGATAAATATTCCAAGAATAAAATTACCGCCAGCGTTTAATAAATAATCTGCTTTTTTATTTTCAGTTTTTCCATCTGAAAATATCACTTTACCTATTATTTTAATTGATTGTTAATAGCTTTGCTTAGAGATACATATTCACAATTTACCAAGCATATTCAATAGCATAGTTTGCACTTCTAGGGAGGTTTGTGTCATCTACATTAGGGATGAATAAAGGATTTTTAGTAAATCCTACAATGTGTTGTTCCTTGTCCTAGCGCTAGGGGGCCGTAGGTGTCTCGGAAATTTTGCCCAGGCAGACGGACAGGCAGAGAGGATAAATACTGTCATCTGCTGGCAACAAAAGCCATCACGACTCAGCAGACAGCTCTGTCATCTCTCAGCGCTTTACCCCATTGTAAGTGTGTGTGTCACTGCTTACTCAGTTTTACCTATGGAGTTCTAAAGTGAATCTGGCAGTAGGTATAACTTGGCTTGGTTCTACAATGATGCTGCAACTATTGATTCATTTACTACTTGCATAGTTAAAGACTATTCTTTTGATTAGTCAACTAGTTAAATGTTTATTTAGATTGCACATTGAGACTTTACATTTCAACCAAATGATGGTTGAAAGAGGCTTACTTACTTACATTTACAAATTAAGTATATTATTGATGAATATAAGATTTTTAAATGTGCATTTATTTATTTTTTGGGCCATTTTGATGTCATGATACCACAGTCTAACTGAACATTATAAAGTAGGAAAAAGTAGGACAATAAGATGCTTAAGTTATAGCTTTAGAATGGCAGTGAGTTGACAGCATTGTCCTGCCACACTTCAGGGAACAGGGACTGTGTTTATAAATAAGAATCGACTGTCAAAATAATGTTACATTATTAAGACCTAAGAGTATGTTCGGCAATACAGTTTATTTATCGATTGTTATTTTAAAAACAGACCATTCTTCTGAGATATTTCTACTGGCAGTGGAGACATATTAAATTTGAGGTCAACTAGCCAACATTTAAAGTCACGTTCAAAGTCAGTGGCTTAAGGTGCTGAAAATAAACCAGTCTAGCATAGATGGCACAAATCAATAGATCAGATAGGCCCATCACTTCTTGCCTCAGAGGAAGGACATGGAAGACAGACAGAGGGGAGGATGGGTGGAAGAGTAGAGAGAGAGGATGGAGGGAGGGGAGGGGGTCGTTTTTGGCAAATAGAAGGTGCTGTAATGGAGTCTTTTGGTTTGCTGTGAATGAAAATGAAAGGATATTGAAGCCCGGCCAATTATGCTGGTTCAAAGAGGAGGAGCTGGAAAGAGGAGGGCGATGTAGGATTGGCGTGTGGCTCCGGACAGATACCCCAACACAGACTGGAATGGTGCTAACAGATACTGCTTTGACAACTAAAAATATAGATTCTTAATATAGCAGTCCTGGACATATTGCTAAACCACTAATGCATACACTAACTGGGGATATTATGAGAGGCCATTTAAAAGAGCCCACAGACATTGGCCTCGCTCCCAGAAATCCCCCCCAATGCAAAAGGTTAACTGTCAGTCCCCCACTATGTATAAATAGAAGTCTGCCCTCCAGAAAAGCATGTTTTGAGGAGGGGGCAAACAGTAGCGGGAGGTGGTGGTATCTCATGATCCCAGTCACATATACGCACATGCAGGGGGGTAAATTTGAGGGCTTTAAGGGGCGGGGCCTAATAGACAGCAGCATGGAGGAAAAGATGCAGCCAGGGTTATTGTAATGACTGCACAGACTGACAGAGGCCAGACAAAAGAGGGAGCTCATCTATTCAATACGGCCTTGAGAGCAGACGGAACACACGCCATCATCGCCAACCCGAAATACTGGCCCCACTGTGCAGCACAAGGACTGCTTAGTACAGTAATAGACACAGTAAAAATATATAAATACCTCTTATTCATGAATGAGATCGTTTTGGTATTATTTGTATTTATTTTAAGTAGCAAAAATGATACACAGACACACAAAACTCAATAAAAGAACAAAAAGGTGCTTCACCACCTTAAAAATAAAGCTTCCTCTCTTATTTAGCACACCTGAATGTTTGATCTACCACAGAGCATTCAAAAATAAATCAGCTTTCCTTCAGTAATGCTACAATATCTGATCTGTTTACTGTACGGGTTTTCCTCAGAGTGAGGGCCACTGCTTTTAACTCCAAAGGCATCAAATCCTGAAAGTCTCCAAACCCAATATATCCACACTGCATACAATTTTAGTCACTGTCAGAAAAATAAATAAGGTACAAACTGGCTCACATATACTGATTGCACTTTGTCCCCTAGACCCTGTCTACTCCCATACTGTTGGTCTAGTCTGACAATACCGGTTTGATTATAAGCCATTATTCATAATGTGCTATCTTTATGTTGTACAATAAAACAAAACTGTTATAGTGACAAAAGCACTACTTTCTATAATACAGAGGCAATCACAGATTGCAATTCTTTTTGTCTCAAGTAACAAATGTCCTGCCCTTTTGAGGCCATCACGATTCCCAAACTCTTATCACCAGACTTCAGATGTAAGAGAGAAGTCACCACCTGGTACATATCAGACAGTCATGTGTCTAATAGAACGCTTGGAAAAGTCAAGAAAAAACATTCCTCATACTGAAATGCCAGGTTATCCCACTTCTATCAGGGATTAACCATCTCAAAACCTTTTCAGAAGAAACTGTCGGTAGTTTGGCAATCTTGTTTTCAACATAAAACTATTTGTCAAAAACTAATTGGCATCTTACAATCCTGTTTTGGGTCAATCAAAAAGAAATACTCAATCTGATCTTAAAATAAAAGGCTATACTTTTGGAGACACTGGACTCCTCCCTTTTCCCTTTTTGTAAAAATGCAACCACAGCACACATGATGCACTCATGAGTTTGTGAAAGAGCAGGATCATTTCCTGAACACAAGTCAGGTGAAGCTGGTCTTCATGGAGGAAAGCTGCAGATGGGCAATATGGCCACCGGGCGGAGCAGAGGACATGGCACTGTGTGAAGGCCTGGTTTGACCAGCACCTTGTTATGAGAGCAAATGATGATGGGAGAGTTCCATCTCAAAACTTTGTCCATTTCCTGCTGCATTCTTGTCCCCTTATTTTTGGCTGTTTTGCTCTTCTGCAGGTCAGTTTTCAGTCATTGTGAAGTTTTTCAACACCGCCCTGGAGGAAGAAACAAAAGCATCTCATTAACAGCCTGTCAGTCAAATGCTCTAGAGATAACAGCAGTCTTTCTTTCAGAAAAAAATTACCTCAATTGAGTGGTCAAAATGAAAACTTTGATAGAATGCTTTTTTTGCATTCTGTTCTCATGTAAGCCATCTAGGGATTTCGGCTGGATGCATTTTCTAAACAATTAATAAAAAATCTTACAAAATAACAGACTTTCACATTTAGCTACAGTGCACTAAATTGTTTTACTGTAACTGGCTTTAATCCAGACCAAGAGAGAACTAAATGATCTCCCACACAGCCAAACGGGGAAATGGGAACAAAGATCCAAGTCCAGGCTGGAGCCAGAATTGGAGGGCTGATGGTAAACACAAACAGCGAATGGTTGGAGTGGTCAGCCCGTCTTGACTGGCCCCACTGTGAGAAACAACAGCTCTTAATCTGCTTTCACGCTCTCAGTCTGAGTCAAACGGAGGCACCGCTGACACACTCCAGTTTACAGACAGAATGAGGTGAGCCTTGTGGGCACAGGCCTAATGAAGCCATCAAAGACCACTCAACTGATGAGATCTTTATGTAGGAGAGCTGGTGTCCTGTGAACTCTTAGAAACCGGTCAAATATCTCAAAGTTGTCCAAAGTAAAAGGCTGTTTATTGTAACCTGCCATGTTTAGTTGTGAATATTTTGGTGTAATTACCATTCCATTACAGTGGAATGTTTCGTCCATGGTATGGGCCCACTACGATGTGTAAGGTCATGAATTCCAACCTGTCAGCCTCCTTTATAGAGTTCTATCAGATTGAAAAAGCTTTTATTTCTTTATTTATAATTGTAATTTTCTGTAATCACATCAGGCTTTAATTATTGTTTTTTCTTTTCTAAATGCCGGTTGTATTAAACCTATAATATCTAATCACAATCTAGTAATTAATATGGTACGGAAACACTACTCAAAAATACAATCAAACATCATCAGAACTATCAAAAATTTGCTTTATAGTACATTGGGTGCACAGTAAATAGCACATTTAATATGAGAAGCTATGAGTGATATGTTGCATTGATAACTCTTATATTTCATTGTGGACAAATAGTCTAGTCGTGACATATTTAATTACCATAGCAAGCTGACGTCCAATATTTCCCACAGTGACTCCGCCGGAGAAGAAAATACATGGGAGCCACGAGCGAACATACAGGAAGTCTGGAGAAGTGTACCTGGAACAAACAAAGGAAAACTGTTTGTTATACTGACTATATTAAACTGATGACCTTTGACCCATTTATGGAAATCTGTTATATTTGTGTAGTTGCATTGCATAATTAGTGTTGCTTCATAGTCATGACAATATTTAAACAAAATAAGAATGTTGAAAAGAATACTTTGAAGTTTACTAAAAATAAAATACAATATTAACAATGTGCTTCTCTGTGTGGGATCTTTTAATGTCTGTCTGAGCTAGTCTTTTGAATCCAACATTTTATACCTCCCTTTCCCAGTTCGCTGATTTTGAAGATTTGCCAGTGAAGCAGGTAGGGAGGCAAGTTAATTGGGCTCCCGCAAACAGAGGGGATCCCAAAAATAAATACCAACTTCTTCATACACTAAATCAAACAGTTTTTCACTATGTTTGCTGAATTCAAGACATGAGTGAAACCGTTTATGATGCCATAACTTACTGGTAGACTCCGTTGTAGACTAGAACCTGTGAGATAACCGTGGCGAGGAAAGCTGTGGTGATGCCCAGACCAAATCCACTCCTGGAGCGGTCAAATGTCCACCAAAGGCCCAAAGACAGGGCTGCCAGGGTGAGGGACAGTTGGACCGTGTTATCAATGTCCAGCTTCTGTAATGTGAGGCAGTTAAGGGCAATGACAAATGTTTGACTTAATTTAAGGGTCAGTAACAACATTGTGTATGGTATTACCAAAACAATCCATCTGGATATGTTTAAAGCAATACAGCGTAACTTTATACTGTTTGAAATGTGTTGCTAGAGTTTTATAGTTGAGAGATGAAAAGGATACAACACTAGCGTGGTTGATACCGACAAACACAGCGATGCACCTCATGACGCTGGCCCACTCCCTCTTGAACTTGTGCGGCTCTCCCAGGTGACTGTCCAGACATGGGTACAGCAGGCCCACCACAGCTGCACACAGTCACACACACAAGATAAAGATAAGTACAGGTCCTGAGAAAGGCTGCTCTGGAAAATACTGTGGGGAAGTAGGTTCTGCTGAGCATGCACTTCTATGTAGGCTGGTAGGCCTAGACTCAGGATTAGAGGAAAAAAGGCTTTATGTATTTTTGTTGTATACGCTACTTAGTTCAGTTTATATAGTGCCCCATCCATTTTAAATAGTTACTTAAAGACTGGCCTAACAAACGTTCCCTATTCAGTCTATAAAATGGGGAAGAACCGACATGCGGCAGTACAAAGTTGTCTTTTATATATAAATCCCTCCACCCCTCCAAAGCACAGCCATTAACAGTTCTCAGATTACACTGAGGGAGGCTACTACTGTTTTCCTTCTGATGTTTTTTTTTCCTCTTCGCGGCAAAAAGGGGGGAGGAGCTCTGAACTGCTTTCCTGACACTTCCTGAGTCTCAGCCTCAGAGACACCGCCCCTTGCGCTCACCCGTTATTACGCCACCCAATGAGAGCGCACCGCACCTCGTGCTTGGATAGCTTGACCTATCAGAGAGCGACTTTCGTCATCTGCAGCAAGCCCCAATTTCCCCATATGTGGCTGCTAGACTAAACTACAAAGCCTTGCATGTCCTCAAACAAAGGTAGATTATATAATAACTAATCATAACAGAGTTGGCTGATCATGTGCGACTTGTACCCAACCAATTATTACGCACAGCCCGTATTCCCCAGTATACTGGCCTAATTCAAACTATTACAAGGGAATAGTAGTGAGAAAAACTGCTTCCAGTGTCACTGTAAGAAGCCCTATTCTAAGTCACTGATATTACAGCTCAGTTACCCTTTTAATATTTGACCTCTCAAGCCGTGTTCTGTAGCTCCATGGCTGGAGCCCACTTACCTGCCCCTGTGCCGCAGCATGGCGGGATCCACCAGGCAGAAGAGAACAAAGTTGTCATGACCTCCTCAGGGAACAAGGTGACGTTTCTCTGGATCTGCAGCAGGTTGAGCACCAGGGCGAGGATGGCTCCCACCGTGAACAGGACCAGACCCCGACGGATGAGGTTGGCTGTGCGGACGTCGTGCAGAGAGCCATAGGCTTGGCTCAGCATGGAGGTGATGAGGGACATCATTTCTTCGGCTTTGTATACGAACCACTTGGCTCCAGATAAGTGTTTAGAAGTACAAGAGCAGTGGTCCTCAAGTCTCGGCATTTGGCACTGTAGAACCAGACAGTCACACTAGTTAAAAGTCAATAACCCACCTAAGAGAACATGCTTTTACTATAACACTTTGTCTGACTCAGTAAGTTACTCATCAAAGAGTCAGTGGGTTTTTTACCTTATTCTTCAGGTGTCTTCACTCGCGTTGTCCACAAATTAAAAAAACAAAAAACAAAAAACAACTCCTGTTCTGAAACTCGTTGTTCGCAACAAGGTCCCAAATATCACCGCGATTTCCCTCACATCATCGTTAGTTCATACAGTCACAAGCGAAGGCTGGGGAACCCGAGGCGGTGCGGAGCGCTTCCTCTGCAGAAAACAATCACAGCTGTGTCGGGTGAGTAGCGCTGGCCAATCAGAGCGCGGCGGATGATATGACGTGACGCCGGGGACCGCCTCTTTGGTTCAGAACAGACGCCAGACGCACACCAGTGGAGACTGAAGTGAAAGTGAATGTGATGAATGGTAAGAAGTGGCAGATATAGATACATATATCACTTTGAAAAACACATAATCTGTCCAGTTCAAACGAGTTGGAAGTTGACCCAATGGGAGATAAACTAGGCCAACCTTTTAAAGTGACATGTATGTGCCCTACTTACCAGCGTGTGAAGTAAGCCTGTAGGCTACAGTTGCTCCTCAAACAAACTTTAGTAGAGTAGCTCACAGTCTAGCTCCTGTGCACTGCTCAGGGGCCTTATATAGGGAGGACTTCACAAAAGGAGGTCAGTGTCACAACATTTTGTTTTGGCGGAAAAGACAGTGAACTTTGGGTCACTGCAGTAGGCGGTGTGTCCAGAGGAATGAGGGGCATGCTGGGTAGAGGTGTGGGCCCCTGCACGTCACAGTACAGATAATACAAAGGTTCAGTGCACTGCTCATAGGCTGCAAGAGAGGGTAACAACAGAAAAAAGCTTATGTATGAGAGAGCGATAACGCATGTTCAATGTACACTGTGAAGTGCATACAGGAGTGTACATAGCTCTTGTTTTGCTTTTGTCTGCATAAAGGTTGCATAAGGCAAGACACACCTTAAAGCAAACAACCTAGCGTTGAAAACAACCCTGTTCTGGAGCATACATACAAAAAGTGACAGCATAATTAACATATATATTCATAAGAGTACAGATGGAGGATACTATTGTCACATGACCTCAGAGTTGTTTATTCTATGTCACACTTGAGTGGGAGTACAGGAGGAGGGTCTTGGTGCTACCATTTTTTGTGTTTGCTTGAACACTGGGGAAGTGGCCACACTATTGGCGCCATGGTAAACAAAGTGTCATGAAGTGGTTTATAAACAAAATGTTTCGATCTTGGTTAAACTTTTACTAAGTCAGAGTCCAATTGAGAACATGTTTGGTGTGTGACCCAGTTCCTCATTTTTTATAAACATGCATATATTTTCTCAAGCTTTGAAAACTATGTTGTTAATTCAAAAAGCAATGCATAAATCTCTCAAAAATATGTGTACAAAAAAGTTTGTTGAAAACATAACGCTGGCATGCTATACTGCATATTACTACATAAACATGTAAGTTGTGACATAAAAAAGTAAGTGATCTTTAAGTGGGTTTAAACCAAATTTGTATTGCATTTTCAATCCTTTGGCCCATGCAAAATGAAGTGTTTCCAGCTATTTCTCTGTTTATAGCTTATAGTCAAGTATGAAAGTGTTTAAAACTTGTTTTTGTCCCTCATTTTTGAATACTTACAGGAAGCTTGAACAAAATGTGCCATGTCTTGCAGGATATTGCTTTTATCAAAGGGGAAATTGTGTATTTTATGCAGCTGAATAGGTTGTTTTTCATGTCATAGACCACACCAGATCCTAACCACTTTATAAGCATTCACTCTACTTTTTCAATAGATAATGTCATCAGTTTGCCTTTAGCTGACCATGTGGCTAACAGAGATAAATATGAAGCAAAGTAGGTAGTTGTAGTAATAGTAGAATTCTTTATAAACTTAAAGGATTTCATGCGCATGTGTATCCCAATTGAATATGTTTCTCTTTCTGTATAATTCCAGGCATTCCATTTGCTCGCCCGGGGATAAAAAGCCTACAGCAGAGAATGTCTGCGAGGCATCAGGGCCAATAAGTCTTTTCTTCTGAGCGTGTGCGCACAAATCAGACAGGTTTGTAGGCTGCCTGACACGACCTATTCATTATTCTATGTAGATGATCCACATTACAGAGCACATAGCAAGTGTCATTCAAGCACATGCATTCAGGCAGCCATTGTCAGCTCTTACTGTCTTCATCTGGTGTAGTTTAGGTTTTTATATCTGTAGTACATTTGCAATAGAATAATAAAAGTAGAATAAAGAAATAAAATGTAATTGAGTGGGCTATGTATTTATTTACATCTGCGAATAGTAGTGGTATTAGTTGTACTGATGTACAAGAAGTGGTTGAAGTTGCAATAGTAGCATTTGTAATTGCAGTATGCTGCAGAAAGTAACTTCAGTTCAGTGATAAGTAATAAACAATTCATAGAAGTGCAAATGCTAGTAATGACAAACACACACAATGCAGTTTTTAAAGTAACTGTACTTCTACTTTAGTACAAATGTTGAGTATTTCTCCATACACTTGCTGCTTTCCTTTTATCAGCTTATCAATGTCACTCAATTGGGAAGCACTTGGAATCACATTATCTCATGTCAATAACATTTCTTGACCTATTGATAAATATATTGATCAGATTTACTACAGTGAAAGCGATGAAAACCTTGTTCATGCATGATGGCTCTAATGTTATTTAGGTAAGTCAGTGGTTTTGGTTTCCACAGAATAAAATAATGATATGATGAGTCAGCTGTCACTGCCTAGCTCAAGTATGCTCTACTCGACTCAACTCGATGATTACTTGCGTGTCATAATAGCATTTGAGCCATCAGTTTCCTTGTTCAAGAGGTCTGTCTGCATTTCTTTAAGTCTGTTTTTCAAAATGCACAGTCGAACCCCTGTGCAATTTCTATGTTTACCCATCAAACAAAATGCCTTATAGAGCAGTGTCCCTACAGCCCATCGTGTTATGTAACCATTCAAAGTTCTTTATATGCATTTATTATGTTTAAAAAAAAAACTTAAAAGGTGCACCATGTATCTTTTCTAGTGGGGGGTTACTTGAGTTTGTTTACTTAAAGGTGTTGCTTAAAGGGTCCATATTACTGATCTATGTTATAATGTTCTTTCCTCATCACAAACATACCTGGAGTTGTGTTTTGTTTCTTCCACACACGTTTAACACACAAATCCTGCGTATTTAGGCTGAGTTCTTCTCTCAAACAGAAAACACTTTGTTCCACCTTGCGATATCATGTGGTAAAATGTTAAAGATTGCTGTTAACTACTTGCTAACTACTGCTTCATGACATCACAAGGTGGAACAGAGCTTATTGAGCTTTGGAGATGTAGACAGATGAATAATAAATGATTAATCAAACACGTGTGAATGAAACAAAACACAACTCCAGGTGTGTTTTTGAGCATCATAACATGACTTAAAACCAGAGGTGGGGACTTGTAAATCATGACTTGAGTCAGTGTTTTTACGACTTGAGACTTGACTTGATAAAATGGACTAAGACTTGGGAGTCGACTTGGACTTGAAGGTCAGTGATTTGGGAGTTGACTCGGACTTGAGGCCTGTGACTTGAGAAAACTTGAGAAGCACTTTTAAATCTGAATTTAAAAGTGCTTTCTATTCTGGCTGTAATGATTCATCCTTTGTCAAGACATTTAAAAAGGAAAAATTAACTAAATTAATTTCTACAGCTCTTAAACACTTTATAAATACTCACATATAGATATACTATGACATTTTATGTACAACTTAGTTTAAGTCATATAAATTGCAAAAATCTAAGCTATATTATATTTGGTACTTTGGTTTAAAGACTTGAAATGACTAGAAGCTCAAAGTAGATGACATGAACTTGACTTGGAGTCATGGGCCAGTGACTCGAGACTGGACTTGGACTTGCCTGTATTTGACTTGTGACTTGACTCGGACTTGAAGTCAAAGACTTGAGACTTACTTGAGACTTGCAAAACAACGACTTAGTCCCACTTCTGCTTAAAGCTCACAAGAGTCAATTTTGTGTAATATACTGTAGGCCCTTTCACAAACGCCTTGAAAAACAAGATAAGCAGGTCTTCGTTCCACTGATCTGTAACTTGACCCACAAAAATATTGTTCCAGCTTCCATATATTGAACAATAAATCGATATAGTATTTTAGTGACAGGCCTAATTATTAGTAATAGGCTAAGTGCTTTAACCATGTTTCCAACCATCTCTTTAGCAGCCACATTTAATGCCATTTTATATTTTATTAACTTTAACATTGAGGAACTTAGGTAGTTACCATTTGAATTTGATACCACAGTGAAAACCTGCCTCGCAGTACAAATGAATATGTCTTAAAACCCCATGTCCCCTATAAGCTAATATAGAGCTATAATAACCATAGAAATGAGTGTAGCGTAGAGCAGGCAGGCAGCATGTGTGACTCCTGGTGACAGTGCTGGTGTTTAGCAGCTCTCACATCCGCAGATAAAGAGGGCCACGCCGACACTTCAAATAAACAGCAGATCAAGTGTGTCATAGATTACACTGTGAGACGCGCAAGGATTGAATTACTGGGGAAGGAAAAGCCTGCCGGAACAGCCCCCAAATTGATCTATCAAACTCCAGTCTGACAATTTACTATCCTCAATCCTGTGTGAAATTAGGAAGGGAAGATGCTTGCCCGCCCCCATGGAGGCCTGATTAAGACACATGCATCTTCATTCTGTGCCTGGGATCGTGCTGAAATATTTTTTGCATCGCTAAAAGGAGGTTTGCCTGGTTGGTGGGTTTGTTTTGTTAAACTAAGCTAAGATAACTTCAAATATTGCCATGCCCATTTGCTGTAATTCTTTTGGAATCAGAATAGTAACCCAGCAGCTTACTACTAACTACTAGTACTACAACTTCAAAATGGCATCCAATCTGACACCACCACTTTTCTCTATACCAAAAACCTTAACGTTGTCTTTAAATTTGTTGTTCTTCTGACTTCTTCTGTATATGATTGCACAATATTGGAAGTGCATATTGTAAATAAGAAAAGATTGAAATTAATATGAGAATCCCATGAATTTCAGAAGATGTTTGTAGAAAAAAAAAAACATTTCTATCATCTAAATAATTACTGCCTTTACAATTTGGTAACTGTAATTTGCTATCCACTGTTTAAGTATTTTATTGAAAAAACACCACCACCACCAACAACAACAACAGATTATTTGATTAGTATAATAAAAATGAGTCAAATTAGTCTACCTATTGTTTTTATTAATTAATTAATTTTATTAATTGGAAAAAAATCTAATTGAGTTTTATTTTAGAATTCTCCAGAGGTACACAATGGCCATGGAACAGATGATATTTAAAGGTCCTATATTACGCAAGCTTTTTGTCATCGTTGTTACCTCCTCAAAAACATACCCAGAGATGTATTTTGTTTCATGCACACATGTTTGACTAATCCTGCATTGTTAGTTTGTCTGCATCTCCAAATCTCAAAAGGCTTTGTTCCACCTTGCGATGTGTAGCATTAACAGCTACCTTTTACCTTTTATTGAGTAAAGATTGGCAATTCCGGGCCTGAAATCATCAAATAATTCTACTGAAAGTGGATGGAG